GTTTTCAGCTTGGCTGAATTCAAGAGGGGGGATGGGAGACTGAGGATGGACTGACGGGACAGGAGGAGACCTGATCTGCCTGAAATCATGTCCCTAAACCTTCCCTTTGCACTGCAGGAACATGATGAAGGTGGTTGGTTTATTTTGTTAAAGTTCTGCAAAGAAACATTCACATTAGAAATACACGTAGCTGGCATAAGAAGCCGAACAACTATCTGCAGGCTGTGTGCTACATTTAAATAAAAAACAATGGTCTTCGAAGGAATAAATAATAGAAGCATCTGGTTCTGGCAGCCATCTTACTGTGGGCAGCATTTCGTGCTTTTAAGGCTTAAACTTGGCATCAGATGTTACCCGTGAAAACATGATGCTGGTTTTTTTCTGCTAATGACGCTGGAACTGAGTTGTAATTGCAGCCTGAGTACTAATGACGAAGTTAAATTTGCTTCCAGCGTCAGGCCTTTTCCTTCCTGTCGTGTTTTTGCAGAAGAAATAAATCACTTCCGGTGTGACATTGGCAAATGTGGCAGGGGAATGTTCCGGGTTTTGTTTTTTTTTTAAAGTCTGTTCTCCCTTGAAGTTTGAATTAAAACGTAACAAAACGTGTTTATTCTGAAAGTGTTTAATTTTGTGTAATTACGGCAGTAGTTGTATAAACGGCAAAATAAAGTTAAGGAAATAACTGCCCCATGGAATGAGAATGGTGATTTGCCACTAAACGTCAGGAAAACGTCTGTGTTGGCTCAGAGCCCACCTGCCTCACCAGTGTCTTGCTGTGTGTTGCACTGCAGTTGGAAAGAACCTGTGACTAAAAGGGGAAGAAACTGAGGAATTAAGAAACTTTAAAGTATGTTGTTAGTGGATTATAAGACTTTAAAGGATATAAATTCTATCAGAAGTGCAGGTGACTATCAGAAAGCAGAGTCTGGGGTCCAGCCTTCAGTGTGTGCTTGTGTATTTTGCGATCAACCAGGTTTAAACACTTTGTTCTAATTTTCCAGCAGCAGTCAGACTGGAGGTCTGTGTGAAGTTTGTTGGTAGGATAAGAGCCATCACCACAGGGGTATGTTGGGCCATGGAAGCAAAGGGGAAACAGGAACAGCAGTAAGGGCTGTGCGGAAGGACATGCTCCTCCTTGTCAGACTGGGTGTGTGTAACCAGTCCCCGGGTCACATCTTACTCATCCTGCATTATTTATCACATGTGATGTGCACCCTCAGCCCGCTGGGGTGGGGTGAGAAGCACAACAGGCCTTGGTGCTGTGTAAGCACTGCTCAGCAATAACAAAATATCCCTCTGTTACCAGCACAAACCCAACACACAGCCCATGCTAGCCACCCTGAAGAAAATTAACCCAGCCAAACCCAGCACGTTCTGTAGGTCTTTTTGACTTTTATTTTCCTTCTTTTGTTACCACGGAGCATGCAGACAGGCCGTGGTTCTCCCTCAAACACAGAGGAGGGAGGCAGAAGAGTTAACTCTTCTCTTGTAACCAAATGTTTTTATGCAGCAACTTCCACATTTCTGTTTGTGTGTATTTGCTTGGTAGTAGCTTGATGGCCTTGAAAGGAAGTTACTGAGTTCAGAGTCTCTGTTCTGCTGGTAATGAAAACCTGTAGGATGCTGATACACACTTAAGCCACATATTCCTTTGTTTTGAGAAACAAAGTCTTGGGAAGTTAGGAGTGTCTTAGTGGCAGTGGAGAGTTTTAAATATCGAAACCACAGTAGCTAAAACTTAAATTTCATATTGATGGTAAGACTTGTAGTTCAATATTGACCCTGTGAGAGAACACCAGTGCTGTTTGTGTAAGTTGTTAGTCACAGCTTCTCTCCTGGCATCATCTGTCAGCACCTAAACACAGTGAGACATTGGCATTTATATTTCCTACTTAAACTGTATTAATAAGCCCTCAAGAAGAAGGAATTGTTCTCAGATTTTTAGATTAAAGCACTTCATTTGACATCTTGTTAGTGATAATGCAAATTACAGCAAGTTGGTAGTATTCAAAATTAGTTACCAATGCTTTTGTCCTGCTTTTAACAGTGTGGGGTTGTCTGGGGGGTTGATTGAATGGCATAGTATGCTTTCTAAGTAGCCTACAAAGAGGGCACTGTTGGTAGTTATTTTCCTGCTACATGTTGTGGAAAGGGTTGTGTTAAAATTAGTGATTGGTCCCCTGAAAATCCTCACCACTACCAGCTGCAGTGGCACTGCAGGATTCATTGCATTTGCTTTAAGTTTAGTAATACTCACTACTGGCCACTGTAAAGAGAAGCTGTGCTGTTCTGACTGTACAGAAAGCTGAAAAAATACCTTAATAAGAGCATGTGACATCTCGAAATAACAACGAAATAGAAGAAAGGTGTGGACAGAAGCTCACACCTCAGTCTGCACAGATCAATATTTCTCCTGTCAGTACCTGAAGCTGAGTGGTACCAACCCTGTGGTGTGTGAGTGCTCTGTTGGTGCAGTGCTGTGTTGCAGCAGTTGTCTCCTGGTGACAGGGGTGATTTGCAGGGAGCTCTGAGGGTTCGTGGAGGGAAATGCTCACAGGCACATGAGTAGTGCACGTGAACTCATTGTCATGAGCTCTGGACTCGCACTGAGGTGAGCAGAAAATGAATCCATACACTGACTCACTTTGTCCTTAATATCCTGGTAGTTCATCTACGTCAGTCTCGATGCTATTAATAGAAACAACTTCCTGAAATTTGGCACCATTTATAGTTCTGTTAATGTTTAAGCTCCACGTTTCCAGAAATCAGTGCTAGGATAGTCTGTTAGTCTGCCTTACCCTTTGCTGTTCCTGACAAAGCTGAAGCTCATTATTTTCCATCTCCTGGGTAGTTTTGCCAGGCCAAGAACAAATATTGGATACACATTGTCTTGTAGGAGTTGTGCATCCTGAAAAGGCTGTGCCACAGGAGCACACTGGATCTCTCCAGCTGTTTAAGAAAAGCAGGCTGGTGAATAAAGACTCTGTGCAGGCATCCTTCCCTCCCCTGTGCCCCAGTTGTTGCAAGAAATGTGTTGAAACACTTCCAGAATGTTTCGTAGCAGTTTACCTGGTGTGTAAACAGTGTAAAAGTTGACACTACCAGTTGCCAAGGGACAAAGCATGAAATTCCACGTGAGGAACACGTATTCCAGCTGTTCAAGGAAGTAATTTTCAATGGGTCACGGGCCTTGGAGGCACAATTTTTTGATGTGTGGAAAGAAAAATGAAGATTTCTGTTTTGTTTTATATGAGATCACGCAAACTTCAGGGACACTTCCAGCGGGAGATTTTGATGCCTGTGATGCAAACAGACCTCTTTCAAAGAGTAATATTAAAAGAAAAAAAAAAAAGTTAGGAGAAAACCATAGAAGAAAAAAAATCAATTTGAAACTAAATTATTTCCTTAGCGTTGCAGTTTCTTCTACACATAATATGGCTCACTTTGTGTCCAGTAGAAGCAGCAGAATAAAAACATGGGTCTGGAAATGTTGCAGGGAAAATAAATTACCAGTGACTCATAACTGCACCAGTTACATGTGATGGAGGGCTGGGAGGGGCAAAGAATTGCACTTTTTTCCACTTGCATCCGTTTTCAGTCATTAGTCCTGCAGAAAGAAGCAAAAAATCATCATGTATTATCCTGTCTGTTTACAGAAATAGGGACCTATAAATAGTTGCTGGAGGAAAAAGTAGGGAAGCAAGAAAAGAGAAAGGAGGGACTGTGTCCTTATAGGAGGAATGAGAGGAAACAAGTGTTGATAATTGCAGTGTCTGAGCTTGGGGCAGAACTTGATCACAGTACTCTGTGCACAGAAGCATTTTTGGATCACTTTGAAGGCAAACAGGCAACTTCTCCTGGATTTTCTTGCTGACCAAGGGGTGACTCTTGCACTGGTCCCCATTCTCCTGTTCACTGTTCTCAGAGACAAACTCTACAAATTCAGTTTTGTTTTTGGGGAGTGGGAAGGCACAGACATTGGGTTGTTTGCCTGCTTTTTGTTTTAACGTTTTTCACTCCATTCAACCTCTGCTAAAATCGTTGAAGGTGGAAGTGGGAGTCCTTAAAAAGTAGATTAAGTCATGGTCTTGACCTGTTTGAAGTTACATTGTCATTATAGACCGAAATGTTTCAGGACTTCTGGACAACAGCAACAGTATCTTACCGTGTAACTGTGTCCATTAGACCACGAGAAAACAATCTGGTTTTGGTCCTGTTATTCAACAAATATATTGTCATGTTTGTTAATATTACTGAAGGGTGTATTGAGGTTCAAGTACAAATATTTCAGTTAATCAGAAAAAATATTTTGACATTACCCCTAAAGACAAGCAGGTTCTTGCCTCCCTTTTTTATTTTAATTAGAACTATTAAACAAGTGGTTGTCCATAAGAATGGAATGGAGCAACCCCTGATTTACCCCACAGTTTTAGGCACCAGCCAGCAGAATAATTTCCCCCTTGTGTAAATGTAATTACACTGGATGGTTTGCAGTGCACTTGAGCAAAGTGTCAGGCACACAAATGTTTGTCCTGGGCTAATTAAATTACACCAGAGGCAGTTTGGGCAGCAGAGTGAGAAGAATGTAGTTATCCCAGAGACTTTAGCAGAACATTTAAGTATTGATCAGTTGGTAGTTTTACTTACTTTCTTACATGAAGAGGAAAACATCTCTGCCTCTGCTGTGCTGTTGAGAAGTGAATACAAGACACATGCTTTCTTGCAAATCCAGGATGTCTGAAAGCACAAAGGAAACATCCAAAAAGCTGCGTACTATAATTGTAGGAAAATCCCAATCAAATACAGGTGCTCCTTTAGAAATGGTGTGTGAGTTTGGGTTGTAACTGCAAGGAAATCTGTACACAGATTGCCACTTTGTTTGCTGAACTGTTTGGTTGTGATTTGGCTGATTGCTAAGGGGTGTTTTTAAAATTCACTGTGTTCTTGAGCGCTTTTCCTGTTGGAAATCATCCAGTCTAACTGCCTTCCCTCTCCCCTTCCCTTCTGTCTTGCAGCAAACGAGGATTCAGCGTTCGCTCCTTTGGCACAGGGACTCACGTGAAACTGCCAGGACCAGCCCCGGACAAGCCAAATGTTTATGACTTCAAAACAACATATGATCAGATGTACAATGATCTGCTTAGGAAAGACAAAGAACTGTATCCCTGTTGGCATGGCCTCTTTAAAAAATCCACTGTGGTTCATCCTTGAAAGGTGTAATTCATTACTTGGCATTATGCATTAGGAACAGAGAGTTGCTTGACTGGCAGACTTCAAATGATTTCAGTTTATAGGGTTTTTTTGTTTTTTACAGTGGGCCTCTAATGCTCCCTTGTAAATTGCTGAGTTACAATGCACACATCCCAAATGCTCTTCTGTAGTGTGTTAACATGTTTAGCTCTTGAATGAAAGCACATCAGTACTCACAGATTGCCCATTGCCTGCACTGCACTGTGGATCACAGCTCTCAGTGCAAAGACTGCCCTGATAATGGATCTGGGAAGAGCGACCACCTCGACATTAATGTTGTATTTAGCTCAGACAAACTGCCAGGTAAGGTTTACAGATACTTTCTCTGGGAGAGAGGATACCTTTCATTAAAGAGCTCACCCTTCTCACTGAGGATTTCGTGGTACATGATCTGTGCACCAAGAAAAAAATAACCCTATAGTGTATTATAAAAAATGGACATAGGAGAGCCCAATAACATATTTAATCCTGGAGAGCAGAGGTGATCAGGGTTAGGCACACTGCTAAAAACCATGACTAATGTCAAACTGCATGATTTTAAAATATCTATATTTAAAGTTGATTTTTTTTTTTTTTTTAGGAAAACCCACAAACCTACAAAATTGGGGCACTCACTCTAGATACTCTTTTTTTTCAACAAAGATCTTTTTTTAAAAAAAAAAAAATCAAAATGTAGGATATAGTCTTACTGTATCACATGTGATGTGCTGGTTTATTTGTTGGTGTTTTTAATCCCTCTGCCTATAGAGAAAAAGGCAAATCTTGCAAACCCAACATAATGAGGTATGTCATATCCATATCTTGATTAAAAGAACTGCTTCAAAAGAAAATAACTTGAATTGAGAATTAATTTTAACAAGCACTAGCGACTTGTGATTTCCTTTTTGCATCCTTCATTGCTGCTGTCCTGAGTATGGCAGTACTTAAAAAAACCCCCAAACAACAGAAAGCCTGCCCAGCCCCCCCGTTCAGCATGTTTAGGAGTTACCATCCTGGTTCTACTCCATGCTGGACACAGTTGCTGTGTTCCCCAAATGTATCTGCAGTGTCACAGTTAAACCTTTTCTCAGGATGAAGGAAAGCAGGTTTAAACAACAGCCATTTCAAGGGAAATAGGGCAGGAGCAATTGCCTCTGTGACTTTGCTTTTTTGATTCTCGGCTAATTTGAGGTTTTCAGACTGAAGACTCAGCACAGAAATCAACTCCATTCCCAGAAATGGGTTTTGAGGGTAAAGACTTTAACCAAAAGCAGAGCTACTCTCATCAGCGAGGTGTGGAATAGGTTTTTTGTGAACCAGGGTCCCAGGGACCTCAGTCCTTTTGGGTGAGCCTTAATTCCTAGGGGTGGTGGGCATGGGGACATGGCCTGTGTGGGGGGAGGGCCTGCTCTTCTCCTGGGCTTGGATTGGGGTGGGGAAACAAAAGGAGCTGTGTTTCCATATGATTGAGCTGCTTGTTCTGTTCCCCAGCCTTGCTTTCATCAGCTCAGTGGACATGACTCTCACCTGTAGCCTTTCCCTGTGGTCTGAAATGGTGTGTCCTGGGGACATTCCCATATGGCAGCGAGGAGCCACGGGAAGTGTGAGGGCTCAGCATCCAGTTCTGCCTCACTGGGGAGTGATCTCCATCCAGTCCCACGTGCCAGCAGGGATCCCAGGCACTGTGCACACCAGATGCTCAGTGAAATTGTGGCTGTAAGGGACATGGAACATTCCCTGCCCAAAGAGATGTCCCCAGTTTCAGAAAGCAGTGGTTTCAAACAGCAAAAAGCTGCTGCAGTGTTGGACCTCCCTCAGAGCAAGGTTAAAACTGTGTTAGAGAGAAGATCCACTGAACCTCTCCTGCTCACTTGTGGAAAGGGGGGACAACTATTAAAAACCCACTCTACAGAGACTAAAAGCACCTTCATTATAGTTAATTAGCGAAATATAGAGCACAGGCTCACATACCTTGAAGGCATATGTTGCATTTAAGAAGCACAGGAATAAGAGATTCGGTTGAGTAGGTGGTTACAGTGTCTCTAAAATGGAAGTACTTCAAAGCCTTTTAAGATGTGGTAGTTAAAACTTATAGTTAAAATAAGTACCCACATCTCCCATTGCATTTGGAGAATATAGCATTTAAATTCCCTGAGCCCTAATAGAGGGCTGTGACAAAACCATTTAAAGCTGTTCTGAATGTGGCTTTTGGTTGCTTTTTTAAAAATATTCCTCTATTATTTCTAGGACAACAGTGTAGAGGAAGATTCTGCAGCTAATCTGGAGGAGACATGGCCAGGCAGCACCTCTGGGGCTGTGTGTGTAGTACAGATACACCACCTTGTACTTGCATGTGTGATCCACCTTTCCAAGATCATGATTACTTGCCCCTTACAACTGTGTGAGGGGGTTTGAGGACTCAATTCTAATTATATGGTGGTGACTTTAAAGATGAAGCAAAAATAGATCAAAACTGGTGAGCCCTGCCTTCAAGTGAACTCAAAAATTAGTCAGGGATGAAACTTGCTAAACACCAGTTTAAATCTTCATCAGCAGGTGCTTTTATGCCCAGAGATAGGAACTGTTCAAATGGAAATTTGACCAAAATTCTGCAGCAGTAGCTCCTGGGTCCTTTATCAATGCTGACTAACTCCCTGACTGATTGTTCCTTTCCTTTTCTCAACACTGGTGTATCTGTGACCCTCACATTAAAGATGCCTAATGATTTCCTTAGATAGGTGGGCATTTTTAATTAGGATTTCTAGGCAGCCTACATCTAATCTGCAAGCCTGGCCTCTTGCTCTCTTCCCTGTGTTTTACCCCCTCTTTTAATGTGACTTGCTTTGTAACTGTAGATGGGATTCCAGTTTTAGCTCCATAGTTACATGAGGATATAAAATTGAGGGGAGGGTGGAAAAGGTGTCCTCAAGAAGTTCCTAAAGGTGTGCTTGTTAGGAGGAAAATTTCAGAAGTGAAGAAGAAAAACTGGTTTGGTACATCTCACTTGAAGACATATTGATTCTTTTCTGTCAAAAAAAAAAAAGGTAGTGATGATCTTGGTGATTGGGATCTGGTTCTTCTCTGTGAACTCCATGTTGAAGCTGGATGCCCTTGTGGTCTTGCCTTGTAGCTCAGTCTTGAGCAGTAACTTATTTAATTCTACTTCAGGTAAGCTCTTCATGCATGTATTTGTCTTACATTTTATCAGGTTTTCTCATGGATTTTGAGCTGATAAGCAGTTGTCAGCTTCTGTTCTGAGCTGTCATTGCAGTGGTCAGCAGGATAGCTTCTGTGTCTGGAGACCACTGGGATAGTTTATTTTAGATATGTTTAGGATTGGGTTTTGTGGGGTTTTTTTGTTTGTTTTTTTTTAGGTTGGGTTTGTTTTATTCTTCTCAGTTTTTTTTGAAGCCTGACCTTCCAAGAGCTAAAAATAGTTGGAAGTCGTGGCCTACCTGTCAGTGGCAAAATTCTTCCAAAGGCAGTGCAGTACAAGTCTCATTTTCTTCCTTAACGTGTCTTTCAAAGTACTTCAGTGCTCCTAGAAACAGAGGGAAGGGTGGAAAGCAGTGTTTAAACTGGATTTGAACAGGCTTCTAAGAGGCACATTTGTGTGAATCAATATGCTTCCAGCCATAGCTGAATTCCAATCCCTTTTTCTCCATAAGACCAACACACTTCACAAAGTCCCAGGCCTTTCAAACGCAGCATTTTTAGTCTGACTTCTGATCAGAATGCCTTTAATCTTGGCTTCATTTACATTAAAAAGGAAAGATATCAAATTATTAAAAATATATAAACCAGAAATATATTATTTAAATTTTATTTCCCTTGTGTTTGAACTTAGGGACACGGTAGAAACTGCAGACTCCAATCTAATATTAAATGCTTTTCAGCATCTAAAACATCTCTGCCATGCTGTCAGTCTGCCAGCTAGTCTTTCCTTAGCCAAGGTGAGTCCTGAACAAATGCTCTAAGGAATTCTGACTGCAGGATCCTATCTGAGGCTGAGGACTCTTGTAAAATCCATTTAGAATTGGAATGATTTCATTTATTGGCCCAGGTTTGGCAGTTTCATCCTGACTTGAAGGAGGGGAGCATTGAAGACTTTACCTCCCATTAACACAAAACTTCTGTGCCAGCATAAGGGATGCTTACACCTTCTTTTCCTTACAGTGATTCCAAATCCATTTTCATGGTAGTGACTGTAATTTCTTAAACTGGCATTAATTGCAAGCCAGTGTTGCACTGAGGACTGTCTCCTGCAGACTCATCCAGCGTGTTGCTTCCCCTGCATGCTGCTGTTCCAGTGGCCCTGCTGTCTTTGTGATTGTGTTCTCAGGCTTCCCAGATGCCTTAAATGAAACGGCTTAATTGATTTAGGGTTTGTAATGCTTGTGGTTTGCTTTATCTGAGGTTCCCTCTCCAGCTCTAACTCCAGGTAGTTGAAAATTACCTTTGAGTTTCACAGCACGAAGCAGTGAGAGCAGCAGAAGGCAATTTGAGAAGGGCTGTTGCAGCCCCTGCTTCCCTGAGACGTTAAATGGGGTGACTCCTTCTCTCTCACAGACCTCTCTCTCTCCTCACAGCTTCCTCAAAACTCTTCCCCCCCTCAGCCCAGTCCTACGACATTTGCTGCTCATCCTCTGGAACCTGGCGGTGGTTTCCAAACCTGAGAAGAGCATCTAAAAGTCACGGGTGACACTTCTGAACTTTCTTGCCCACTGGTCCTGACAGTGACTGTTGTATTCCTTTTTTACATGTCCCTGTCACTTACTGAACTTGGCAGGAGTTTGAGCCAAGTGATCAAACACTGGACATTCCAGCAATCCAAACTCCTCTTGAAGTTCACACTTGGCTGAGGTGCAGCTGTTGGGTGATGTGGGCAGACGTGCCACACATCTTCAAAGTCATCTTGTGGTCTGTCTCTGGTATCCTTATCTTCCTTTAGTCCCTTCAGTAGATCTGTGCCATCCCTTCTCCAGGTCTTCAGTTTTCCCTTTACTCCATTTCTTTTCCCTTTTGACTACTTGTTTCTCTCCAGTTTCACCCCCAAAAACTGTTTCAGCTGTTCAGCACCAACAAGTCATTGGCATTTGAGCTCTGGGCTTAAACTCAAGATGTTTCCTGCTTCTGCTGATGTTTGGGTAGGTACCCTCAACTTTGGGGCTCAGCCAGGCTTGAGGGAGTGAGCAGGGCTGGCACGTGGTTGTATTTGGACCAGCTGCTTTGAGCAGGCTCAGCTGGACTTCTCAGTGCAGTTCGTAGCTTAAAAATCCCAGGTAGTTGTCCTTCACAAGGAAAAACAAGCTCAGTTCTTTGCAGGTCATTAATGCAGGCACAGATGTTACCAGAAATGTTGCTTAACCCAGCTTAGTATGTTTGTTATGGTTTGGAATGGCCTATTTTAGAATCAGAGAATCACAGAATGGTTTGGGTTGGAAGGGACCTTCAAGATCACCCATTTCCACCCCCTGCCATGGGCAGGGACACCTTCCACTGTCCCAGGTTGCTCCAACCTGGCCTTGGACACTTCCAGGGATGGGGCAGCCACAGCTTCTCTGGGCAACCTGTGCCAGGGCCTCCCCACCCTCACAGGGAACAATTTCTCCCCAATATCCATCTAAACCTACTCTCTTTTCATTTTGAATCCAGTAGAATCATAGAATGGTTCAGTGTTTAGAGTACCATGAAAGACTTGTGACCAAACTGGTTTGTACTAAACCCAACCCAGTTTCAGTTCAAGTGAAAGGCAGTTTGTGCTCTGGCTGTGGAGTGAAGGCAGTTCTTGCAGCCGTAATCACCAGGCTTGGAAAGTAGATTTGTAGTGCCCAGGCCCATTTTCAGGCTTTCATTCCCTGTAAAAGGAGCTGATGCTGAAGGTGGAAGAAGGTTGGGCAGCCTCACCCTCCCCACACACATCCTTTAAGGAAATATCTGCTTCCTAGACAAATTGCCAAGCAGGGTTTAACACGATGTGAGGTGTTTATAATGCAGGTAGTAATAAATAAATTTAGATGGTGTAGAAAAGAGACCTGCAAATGGAGGTGTGAGAAGCATTCTGCTCTGCTGCTGGTTTTCCCAAAGAAGAACAGCAATGTTTGAATATGGTGGCAGCTGCACCACAGGGAATAATCAGCATGTCAACTTTTTTTGAAGATACAGAAACTTAGGGTGCCAACCATTAATTTAAAGATTTCCCCCACACACGCACTAAAAAGTATATATACATTTTAGCAAATGTTCTTTGACCAATTATGTTTAATGAAGTGGCCCCTAGAGTATTTTTACAGAATGGCCTGGTTGGAAGGGACCTTAAAGATCATCTCCTTCCAACCTCTCTCCATAGGCAGGGACACCTCCCAGTAGCCCAGGTTGCTCCAAGCCCCATCCAACCTGGCCTTGAACACTTCCAGAGATGGGGATTTTAGATGATTATGTAATTAATTTATATACCCCAAAACTTTTCAGCTCAGATCACTTGGGAGCTTCAGCTTCACGTGGGAGTTAAAATGAAAGTTACTGAATACTTGGATCAGTAAGATCACTTTTCTGTTATCATACAGGATTAGAGACTTTATGCTCATGGCTAAAAGTGTTCACCCTGTCAGTGACACAAATTACTGATAAAGTGGTTGGAGGGGTGAGGGATGTTTGGTAAAAGGCATTTCTGATGTCTAGGACAGGAATTTTAAATTTGGGTGGCAGAAGCTATGAAAACTTTAGGGGTTTATCCAAACACACACCTAACTCCTTTTTTTAAATACGTGTATATCTTCATCACTAGATTATTATGGGGTGTCCTTAGCTAAAAGGAGAGAATGCAGTCAGAAACAAAAGAAGTAGGTGGGTCTGGCCATGTCCATAAGAATGAACAACACTGGTGCATCTATTGCAAAAACCCAACTTGTACTGCACCATCTCCTTTTTACATCAAGTTTTTCCATTGCTGAGCTGTCTGGCAGGGATTTCATCCCTGTGGATCTGTTTAGCACAGTCACTGCAATAAAGGTGAACTCTGAACTGGACTCCCTGTAAAAATGTGATGGATTTACTATGCCATTGTTGGCAGGAGGTGAAGGCCTCTTAGAGAAATGCAGGCATGTTCTGTTGAGTGTGAGCATGGCAGGGAAGGTGTGACAGCAGGGAAAGGCAGGTGGAAATCTTGGGAGGACCTGCTGAGGAAGTGGCTGCTGAAGAGAAAGAGCAGAGGTGCACGGGATAGGGAGCGTGGAGTTAAAATCTGTTGGAAGGAAAGCAGAGCCTGACTTCAATGATTCCACATCTGGCAGTGTAGTGAAAACCATTAATGAGTTGTAGGATCTGCATTCACCTGAGCTCACAAAGAGAAGGAAGCTGGGTTGTGATTATGCATTGGGAGCAGTCCACATCCCCCTGCCTGCTCGAGGGGTGCTGTGCTCCTTTCTGCAGGGTGAAAAAGATTTCAGGCAACCAAATATGAAAGTGTCATGAATCTTTTAACTGCTTATTTCAGTCTCCTTTTATAGGCAGATGGACCCTTGGAGGAAAAAAAAAAAAAAAGCTGTAAGTTGGCAGCAGAAAGCTCGGCTGTGAGGCAGAAAGCTTGTGTGGGTTTTTGGAATATGCGTAATTCTGTCTCCAGGCTCAGTCAGGAAAGCTAGGGGACAGATGCCAGCAACATTTTATCCTAGAAAGGGAAAAAAGAGAACCCAAAAAAGTGTGTGGGATGTTGTGAATTTCTTTTTTTTTTCCCCTTGAACTGCATGATGTAGAAGCGAGGACTACGGAGCCCAGAAAGGGCTCCCCTTCCAACAGAACAAAGCAACACAGCCAGGTGTTGACAGGTATTTTGAAAATGCAGTCATTTTCCAAATGCTCTAGAAATAACCAGAGGTCTGAAATGGCTTCATCAAAGTGTTTGGGTTTTTTTTTTCCCAAGCATGACAAACCCAAGGAGAGTTTACAGGGGTGCTGAGAGGAAGCAGTGGGTGCTGGTGTGCAGGAGCTGCTTGTGAGAAAGCTTTGGGCTATGAAGGACAATTCTTTAATAATATAAGGAGAAATCTTTTGGGAAAGAAGAGTGGTAAAAGGCTTGGGAGCAACCTGGAGAAAAGAAATGTGGTCCAAGTCAGTTGGCTGAGAGAGAGAATTGACTACATATATTTGTGATCAACAGCTTATCATTCCATTTGTGGTGCAGAATTGAAATCTGAGGTAGTTGAAGTGCAGTGGTGCAGACACAAAAGAACCCACTATATTTGCAACATAAAGTAGATCTAATAGGTAGAAAGATGGGTTCAGTTCTTGATAGAGCTTAAACACTTGAAAGATTTAAAAGCTTTGGAGGCTGTTTGCTTGAAGACTGTTCAAGAACACCTTGGAGCACATGGTGCACATCTGGCTACCAAGGGGGAGTAGAACTTGAGCTATCAGAGGGCAACAGCAAAAAGGTAGGAAGAAAGTTGTTTTTTTTTTTGTTACAAAAATATTAGGACTGTTCTCTGAAAAGAAATACATGTATGTGACCTTTTAGCAAGGAAATAAGCCAAGATGACCCCTCACATACTGCTACTAATGATTTTTTTTTTCTCAGAATCCTGTTACCTCAGGAAATTATAGGCTGCTATTTGAATGTAAAAATACCTATTTAGATGGCTAAAAATACAGCAGTGTCAAAGTAAGGAAGAGGTGCATCTGCCTCCAGGCTTTCTCCATTCAAACCTTTCCTGGCATTGTAAAGCTTGGCCTTCAGAGGGAGTTTGGTTTTACTCAGGCGAGTAGATTCGTGTGACAGTCAACCCTGGAGTGCTCCTGGTGGAACTGTGTGTCCCAGAAGGCTCAGGAAACAGTGGGATTGGTGAATCCTGCCTGAAAGGGGGATGCAGGTTGTTAAACCTCAAGGTTACAGTAGCAGCACAAATATAGCTCCCAGGCAGCATAACAGATTCCTCTCACACGGTGATGAGGCTCTGACAGGCATAAAGTCAGTGTTTTTCTTATTCCCTAAATGGGAATGTATCTTGGGATATTTTTAAGGGATATGCTTCTTTTATTTCCTTGACTTTCTTTAGGAGTTCAGTTGCATAAACCCAAGGCCCACGTGGGGCTTTGTGCAGGTGACACCACAGACACCCTGGAATTGCCTTTGAAGGGGGAGGCCCCTGGAGTGAATGTAGGACATTGTGCTTATGCAAACAGGGCAGGCTGTGTGTTCTAAACATTATGGATACAAAAATAGTTGCCCAAGAAAAGTTGTCCTTCTGAGCTCTTCTGGGGGCCCCCTAAAGCTGCCCTGCCATTGCACTGGTGACAGTGGCAGGTCTCTGCATGAATTACCCTGATGGGGGTCACACTGTCATCTTGGGAGTCTCTTTAATGGTCATTGAACTTTATATTTGCAAACAGAAAGAATCTTATTTTGAAGATACAGTAATAATTTAACTTGTACTGGTCATTTGCTCAAAAACATGACTTGTCTTAAAGTGAAGGTACTTAACTCAAGCGACTTCAGATACACACAGAATGGAATTTTACACATGTTGGACAGAAATAAGAGAATCAAGCCACGACCAGAGAGATTCCAGAACTGCAAAGATGTTTTTGATTTGATCCTAACGTGTGAAGAAAGAGTCTATGATCAAGTAGTAGAAGGTAAGGACCTTGAACTGATAAACCAAGTTAACTTTGGGTGCTTTTTTTCCTCCCCCTCCTCCCTGAAGTCCTTCACAAATCTGGAACCACCTCTGTCTCCTCCAACTGCTGCTGCTGGAACACGAGTGGGGACAAGAGCTTGCAGTTATTGATGCAGACTTTTTGTACCAGAGCTGGGATGGCTGAGCACTTGTTTCTAAAAGATGTTGGCAGCTGCAGGGAGTGTGTATGTGTAGCAATATTAAGGGCTGACATAAGGAAATCTGTAGAAACTCAGGTAACATGTTTGGTTTGGAAATGCCCATGGATCTCAAAAACCAACAAGTTGTATGAGATGAGCATTTTTCCACCCTGGGTTGATGGAGCAACAAAACCTTAAGACCTCTTCCTTATGCAACTTCCCTTCCCTGCAGAAGGCTTCCTGTGACCTACTGAGCAGTTTATCCATATTAGATACCTCTTGTACAGGTGGAGAAGCTGTTCCTGAGTGTTGTTAACACTGTGCAAACGTGGCATGGCTTTGCCTTGAATGAGTCAAAGTGAGATATGCCAGAAGCATCTGGGCTGGGGGTTGGGTGCCACATGATCTCAGTGCACAGGCTCCATGTGAACTCACCTAAAACCTTGGGCTCTCAGCAGTGACTCAGTTCCTGGGCTGAGAAACCTTGTCTGCCTCTGGAAATGCTGGATACAGGATTTAAGGGGTTCCTTTCACACTGAAAGACCAGCCAGCTCAATTAGTATCATACACACAACTTAGAGGGCTGTTGCCTTGGCTTTTCCATCCTCAGTGGTCACGTCACAGGCAGTGCAGGGCACATTTGGGCTCCTGCAAAGCGAGCAGTCAGTGTTCTGAATGCTTAAGGGAAGGGTTGAAATGTGTGAGTAAGTTCTGAGGGCAGCTCTGGCACTTGAGGGAGCCTTCAGCAAGTGCAGCGCGTCTCATGTAGAAAGTAACTTTCCCTCTGATGTTTTAGGTGAGTATCCTGAGGAAGGGAAGGGAAGATCAACCCTTTGCTGATTTTCCAGTTGTGCATCTCTCTCCCTTCATGGTAATAATGCCCTTCACAATCAGCCCAAATGGCTCTGGGTGTGGAACCCATGGAGGCCTCAACGGGTTTGCCAAAGTGAAGGTGCAGGATGGGGATGGGAGAGAACTTTTATGTCCAGTAGGAAGGGTGTTAGAGAGGCACAGCAATAGTACAAGGGCCCACTAGTAGGAAAAGGATGGAGGGGTTTTTTTCCCCCTCCACCCCTTGTTAATAAGTGGACACATTAAAGCTAGAATTTTTTAGTGTGACTTGTAGGAGTTCACCTTGCAGTGTCACATTCAGAGTGCTGGATGAACAGTGCTTTTTTTAAAAAAATGAGCAATCAAAACCTTCCAGGTGAGGAAGCCCAAAATCATTCTTGATTTTTGAGACTCCTGATCGTGGTTTTTGATCGTGGTTTTTAAAGAGTAAAGTGAGCAGTAACCTTCCTTGAGCAGGGCAAATAAACTGTCGTGACCCTTCCACAAATCTGAATTATTCTGTGTCCAAAATCCATTTCTCGTTTTTGAAATGAAAGGGACAATGTGTAAGACAAATAAAAAAATATTCTAAAAACTGGTTTGGGAAAGACTGATATGACATTGCCTGGGCATTTTTAAAAACCTTGTTAATACTTTGTGTGTAAAACACGATACAGTTCCACCCCGAGTTTTGCTGTTACGTGTGTTTTGTTTTCAAATAGATTTAAATTCCAGAGAGCAGGAGACGTGTCAGCCAGTCCATGTGATCAATGTGGACATTCAGGATAACCACGAGGAGGCCACTCTGGGTGCTTTCCTCATCTGTGAGCTCTGCCAGTGTGTAAGTAGAGAGGGCTCCTTGCCTGGGGGTGCCAGGGACTGCACAGGGGGCTGGGCTTTGCTTAGTGCTCCTGAAAGGTGCTGCATATTGCAGAAGTGGGGGCAGTAAAATCCGTGTCAAGGATTGTAAGTTCCCAAGTTCTCCTGGTTATTTTCAGAGCTCTTGGGCAAATTGATGATCTTAACCACGGGTTTGTGGTTTCCAAAGTGAAACAATTTGAATTAGGTGGGATTTAAACGTCAGAGTTGCATTCTGAATCCTGGTATTCTGGAAAAAAATCCCTTTATAGGTGTGTTTCATAGCACCCCAGGGCTGTGTGTGTGATGTGGAACAAAACACTGGTGCCCCAGCCCTTGGTGTAAGACTGAAATGAGCTGCACTCAGACAATGAAACTGAGAGCAGAGGAAGGACCTGTGTCCTTTTACACTGCCCAGGTTGAGGAGTTCACCTATTCCAGGGTGGCAACAGGCTTTCTTTTTTTTAACTCCAGCCTGTGTGGTCTATTTTGGTCTCAAATCCTTTCCAGATTCAAAAAGCCTAAGAGGGTTCAAGGACTTGAAATTTTAGCCATCTGTTCAGTGTGTGCCTGGAGCTATTCTGGAGGGTTCTTAGCTGGTGGGGAGGGATGTTGCCTACTCAACAAAGTGCTAGTGAAGTGCCAGTTGGGTGGGTTGGGGAAGGAAGGATCTGCAGATAAACATAAAGCAGAATATCTGTGCATTTGGGAGTGCTGGGAATGTCAATAAAGCACCCAAGGGCTGCACTGTCGGGCACAGCCTCCTGCTGGGTTAGATTTCCCAGGGAGCCAAAAGCCTGGGATTATTACAGTTTTCTAAACAGCATCATATCCTTGGAGTCTGGTTGCTTAGTCTTTTTTCTCTTCTAGATACAGCACACAGAAGACATGGAAAATGAAATAGATGAGCTGTTACAGGAATTTGAAGAGAAAAGTGGAAGGACTTTTCTTCATACTGTCTGCTTTTATTAAAGCACATCTGTCTCTTAGGCCTTAATACAGATGAGGGAAGCATGTGTTTAAATTTCTGATTATACTGTATTTTCCTGGAAAATGAATATTGATCTTTTTTTGTTTGTTTGTTTGTTTAAAACCTCCTTTTCAGTGTCTTTTTGTTTCAGGTGTTCTGTCACAGGTAGGCAGAGGTACTGGTTGGGCTTGTACATATGAAATGATGAAAAGTATACACAAAGGCCACCTATTTAAAAATTAAATTCAAGTTCTTTTCTAAATCCTACTTTAATTATTACAAGTAGGTTTTTAATTATAAAGAGAATGTTTCTTGAATATAAGTTTATAATGTATTTTTCCAGCTTACAAATTTATTTTATTTCAGTTGTGCTTTTTTTTTTGGCTTTTTTTTTTTTTTTTAAATTTAATGTGACAGAATGGCTGAGGATGTGAATGGAACAATTAAATAACTGAGTATCTGTATATTATTAGCTATAAAGTTGGAAGCATCCAATAAAAATGAAAAACCTTTAAGTTTGTCTGTTTTCAAAGTAGCAGCTGAGGAAGCGTGTGCTCTTTTTGAGGTAAAACACAAAGTATCTGTGTGAGATGAATAAAACTTGAGAGGCTGTAACTGTAGCAGTCAGAGCCCAATGTAAAAGGAAGATGGGGAGAAATGGCAGACTCCACTATCAACAGAAATAATTTAAATTTGTTTTTTTTTTTTTTAACCAAAGTAGTTTTGAATAGAAGCATTTTCCTCCCTTGCAGCAACAGTAAATGTGCTTGTTATGGCTCAAAATCCAGAAAGTGGGTATGTGTACACAGAGCAAAAGTCTGCTCAAACTGATAAAAGTTAAACCAAATTATTGCACATTCAAAATGTGACTGGTGAAGTGTTGTTGCTTACAGGCAAGAGAGGATCTTAAAAGTTGTTTTGTTAAAAGAACCTGTGAACAATTTGGAGCAAACGAGGCTCTTCTGGGGTGGCTGGGGACAACAAACAAAGTGAAGCAGCATCAAGTGGGGTTTGTGCTCCTGGCTTCTCCCATTCCATCACTGACCTCTGGCAGCTTGCAGGAATTACCTCATTTTCTTTGTTAACTGTTTTGCACATGCAGGGGTTTGGTGCAAGTGCTTTCAGCTCAGGTTAGTGTCACCCCTCTGTGCAGACAGCTTTGTCTGTGTGGCAGTAAATCGTGAGGTGATGCTGCTTAACCTCTGTCAGTGAACACACAGCTATTAAAGAGCAGCATTTCGGGTTCCACACCTGAGAACTGCAAGTCCCTGTTGGAAAATAACTTCTTGGCAGCTGCAAATCCTGAAGTCTCAGTCAGGCTCCCAAAGAAACCTTACACCTCACTGCTCCTGGGATCTTGGGGGTTGGCTGTGGTTTCAACTGCTTTGTGGTAAAACTTAGACCTCTGCCAGCTCAATCCGTGTCCTGGACAGTGTCCAAGTGGGTCAGTGCATCATCCTCGGGTCCTGGGAGCGTTTAATATCCCTGAATCACCTGTGCTGTTTTGCCTGTCTGTTAAAAATACTTAAAAATGTCGTGGAGGGAACAAATAGGGACTGGGGAGCTGGAGCAGCAGCTGTGATAAGGTTTGCAGGGTGTGTGTTTTCCAATTGGCTTGTCCTGTCCCATTTTGTTCCTGGAGACTCTGTGTTTGATGGATTTCCTTGGCCTCCTCTGCTCCTCCTCGTTTGTCTGTCTGATACCATCTCTGTTACCATGGGGATATTTACAGCCAAGGGAAGGAGATGGTTCTGTGAGGACTGAACTGCTTTAGTTGATCTCTTTGAAAAGGCATTCCAAGCAGGCACAGTGCTGAGCATTTTGAGCAGTTTTCCTTCCCCATGCAGTACCAGCACTGAGTTCTGCTCTTGGCAAGGTGAAACCTGGGGAGTGTTTGAAAAATGTTTTTGCTTTCAACTTAATTCGTCCTAAACAGAGCTCTTTGTTGTTATCTCACAGGAAGGCAGGAAAACCCCACACAGGACGTTTTAACCCAAGTTTTGTGTGTATATGGAGATTCACAGCAGAGTCCTCTTTATTACAGAAAGGTTGCACTTCTCGTGTGTGTGGTTGGCAGAGAATTCTGGCTGCTGTAGTGCTAAGTATGGAATAATTAGAACTTCACTGCATCTCTTAACTAAGAAACCTAAAACCATAATAGGGTCTACAGGATGTTGCAGAACAGTTCTTTCCATCCTAAACATTCTGTTCATAAGGCAAAGCAGCACTTGGAGCTGGTCATTTGTCACTTGTTTATTTACCAGTGTGCAGAAGGATGGATGGATGGATGATCTGGAAGGAGAAGTCAGTATTCTGAATGATCCACAGTCAGTATTTCAGCTTTCTGTGAGCATAACTTGTTCTTCAGCTAAAGCTGTTCGTACTCTGACATGTTACTTCTCATTTAACTTGAAAAATTTATGCATTTATGTAGTTACTTTGTCTCCACACGCTTCATTTGCGTTGAAATCCTCTGATTTTAAAAGCTCAGTTTGTTCAGGAATTTTATGGTGTCCTAGTCTTGTTTGAGATACACGAAGTATACATGTATAGGTATAAAACTGTGGCTAAACACAGGGTCAAAGCTGTTTTCTGTGTCAAAAGATTTCAAGAGAAACTTTAGTTTAAAGGAAATGGGAAAAATATCTGGGGTATTCTCCCAGCTCCCCCAAGGCCAGGAGAGGTGGCTTTAAAATGCCTAATTCATGGGGATGGCTTGGAGATGAGGAACATGGGCTGGTAGCCAGGCAAAACTTCACTTCCACACAATTCCTTGGGACTTGTCTTCAGGTTCTCTACTCTCTGCTGTGATTTGATTTGGCTGTTACTTCAAAAATCCTTCTGTTTTCTGCAACCAGCAGAGTAACCAGCTGCATTCTCTCCACATTAGTCCTTCTGAGCTCTGCAAATCAATGGTAGAATCCACTTCTGAGCTCAATAAGAATTGGAAGTAGCTGAGGGCAGAGGGTTGTTGAGGAGAGAACTCTCAGGAGTTGGACAGGGTGTGGCAAGAGATGCCTTCCTAGGCATGAAGTGCCTGGCTCATCAAACGTTTCATGTGTGTGGTTTAAATTAAAAATAATAAAAAAAAAAAATCAAAAAAATCATCTGCAATGCAATCTGTGCTCTAATTTGAGGACACCATTTAGTGGTTTTAATTGTGTGACAGTATTTTGGTATTTTCAATACCCAGTAGTAGGTTAATGACTGTTCCTTGAAGAATGGAGTTTATATAACACAAGTCATTACATAAGAAGGCTGATTGTGGCCTGAGGAGCAGGAGGAAAACAAATATGCAAAAATGCAAAACCCAGCAGCAGCAAACTCTGCTTTGATGGCCCTGAGAAGCCTAAAAAAATAAATACCTGGGGTGTAGCAAGGTGAAGCTCACCTTGAGGAGGGCTGTGAGGACGGGGAGGTGAAGGCACTGCAGGACACTCCAGCCATCCAGCCCTGTGCTACCACGCATTTCCCACGTGGTGGCCAGAATCGCTTCCCTTCATCCCGGTTCACAGGAAAAGGAGCAACAACCAAACAAGCAAAAAGTTACTGGCTGGCCACTTATTTTCTTTTAATTTCCCCAGAAGCTCCTGTACGTGGCCTGAGCTGGACTGACCGACACCGCGGTGAAATAAAGCCGTGGAGAACCCGAAGCACAACCTCTTCCTTGGCCCTTCCATCTGGGGTTTGACAGACGGGACAAAGTTGTTGGTATTCGTGTCCCAAAAGCGAGGGGGGTCTCCTGTGTCTGCACCATCCCAGCTTTCCTCAGGGGCCGACTGCAGGGAGGTGGGATGTGCTCAGTGTGCTCGGGGCAGGGCAGGGCACCCTCAGCCTTCCTCGGGTGCCCTTTTGGGCGCTTTCCCCGGGGCGGGGGGCGCGGGGCCGGGACCCCCCCCCCAAAAAGGGCCGCTCTCCGTGCGGGCAGCGGAGGGAGGTGCCGAGGGAAGGCGTGTGCGCGGCGGAGCCCGGGGCTCGCACCCACCGCACGGGCCGTGCCCGGACCCCCGGGCGGGCGGGCGGGGGGTCCCGGCGGGGCCCCGGCGCGGGATGCGGCCGGTCCCGCATCCCCCTCCCCGGGAGGCGAGAGGGGCCGGGGCCGACCCCGGGCGGAGGAAGGGCGGGGTGAGGATGGCGTGTGGGACTCGAAACGCGGCCAAGCGCCGCTGCCGGGGCTCCGCGTGCGGCTGCGGGGCGGGGGGAGCCCCGCAGGGCCGGCCCGCAGAGCTGCCGCCGCCGCTCGCCATGAGCCGCTCCCGGAGCAGCGCCTCCCCACGTAGGTAAATGCCCGGGGTGGGGAGGGGGCGGCCGGCGCTGCCTGGGCGCATCTCCCCGCTGCATCCCGCATCCCTCCCCTGCATCCCGCATCCCTCCCCCCGTGCGGGGCCGGCCGGCGGCGCGGAGCCACCCGCGCCCGGGAGGGGCTGGGCTGGGGGCTGCCGGCGCGGAGCGAGCGGAGGGGACACGCAGCCCCAAACCGGGAGGGTTTGCAGGGGCTTATTTTTGGGGCGGGTGGGCGCGCTGATTTCGAGGGCTGGGGGTATATTTTATTTTCAGTTCCGTTTCGCAGCGCTCCGGAGCGGGGATGATTTTGGGGAGGGTCGGGGGAGAGGATGCAATGAGGCTCCCCCGGAGTGGGTGATTTTTTTGCAGCCTGCCTCCTCCTCCTCCAGCCTCCCCCCCCCCCCCCGCACCCCGGGTTTGGCTGCCTCGCTTCCCAGTTGCTGCATGAAGGCTGTGCTTGTGGCGGCGGGTGCCCGCTCCCGGAGCCGCGCACCCGCCGCGGCGGCCGCGGCCGGGGGGGAGCCCGGGGCCAACGAACGGGGGGAGCGCCAATTTTTTTATTATTATTATTATTATTATTATTTATTTTTTTATTTTTTATATATATATATATTTTTTTTTTTTTTTTTACCTGTCACGTTCGTCCTAGAAAAATAAAAAAATAAAAAAAAAGGGGGCAGGGGCGCGGGAGCCCGAGGCATCCCCGGCACGGGGGAGTGCGTGTGTGTGCGCGGGGGGCGCCCCGCCGCCCCGCCGCCCCCCGCCGCACCGCAGCGTGCGGGCAGCGAGCGCGATGCGCCCCGCGCTCGGCTCTGCGGAATAGCGCGGCCGCCGCTCGCCCTCCGCGGGCTTGGGGCGCACGGACCCGACCGCTGGCCATCCCCTATTGATGTCCATGAATGCAAACACCATGATTTTCATGATCCTGGGCGCCTCTATCGTTATGGTAAGAGATTTTGCTTATCTCCCTCCCCTCCATCATCCCCCCCCCCTCCTCCCTTCCCCTTCCCTCCCCCCCCACCCCCCGCACCGTCCCTCAGCCTGAGCACCTCCGTGTGTGTGTGTGCGTGTGTGTGCATGTGTGTGTGCCCCGGTAAACACCAAAGATTATTTTCTTTATGACTGCTTCAGTCTTTGGCAATCAAACTAGAGTCAATGTTTTATTCCATCATCCAGAGTTGACCAGATGCCTTGGTTGTGGGCTCTTACAGGCAATAGCTTGCTTGATGGACATGAATGCGTTGTTGGACAGATTTCACAATTACATCTTACCGCATCTGAGAGGGGAAGACCGAGTTTGTCACTGCAACTGTGGAAGGTAAGTTCACCTGCAGAGGATCTTTCCCCCCCTCCCTGCCCCCCCAGCCCCTTCCCACCTCGTCTCACTGGGGAGGCACAGGGGAGGTGGTGGCCGGGGCGCTGCTGGCTGGGCTACCATCTTTGCATTCTGGCTGTGTCTCACCTTCCTCACCAGCTCCTGCATGAACACAGGGAGGGGGGGGATTTGGTTTTTTTCCGGAAGAAGAGTTTTCTGTGGGCTTGGAAGTCCATTCTCCTTTGTGTGCGTGTTTGTGTAGGTGCACCCGTGAGCCCTGCCGAAGTGAGTAACTTCGATTTAAACGTTTGTCATTTTGCCTTTGTTGTCGCTGGGCTGTGATGGTCCTCAGCCTGTTTGTGGTCTGGGTCTTGCAGTTGTGTGGCTGAAATGAAATGGGGTTTGGAGAACAGAGAGGATCCGTGCCCAGGCCGGAGTGTGGCTGTGTAGGACAGTGTCACTTTGAGGCTTTGCAATCTTTGATCGGATTTTAATTCCCTGTGGCTTTTCCTCCTGAGAGTTGTGATGCTGCTGGACACAGCACCCCGAGGAGGCTGGGCTGTGGTTTTGTGGAGCGTTCTGTGAGCCAGGTGGATGCTGTGCCAGGAGTGATGCCTTTGCTGTGCACAAGTTTATGACTGGACAAATCCCTGGCTCTCCCCATGGCTGTTGGGAATGCTGAATTCTCCTAAACAACGTCGCTCTTACGTCGTGTGTAATCACTGAAGCGCTCAGCTCGGAGCTGGGATCTGGCTGTTCCCTGTTTTCGGGCCCGGGGGCTGAGTTTTGGGGAGGTGAAATTCTCCCTTCCTTGTGGGACTGCTGTCAGTGATCCTTGTCCTGCACTCCTGGAGGCCTCGCTCCCCTCCTGTGCCTGGTTACTCACAGCCTGCAGGAGAGTTTCTTGTCTGTGGGGGAGTGAAGCAACGTGAGGCTGTGCCAGCTAAAGGACATGCTGGGGGAGCCCTCCCTTGTCACATCCAACGTTTAAACTGAGCTTTACTCCTCTTTGAGCTGCCTCTGGAACCAGCTGCATCCTGTCTCCCAGGCGTCACATCCCTCTGGTGTCCCTGGTGTGGGAGCTGAGCTGGAGCTGGGATGTGCTTCGCTTAATGAAGAGAAGCTGCTTTGCCCTTCCTGCTTCAGGCACCGAAGGTGATCGGTACCTTTCTCCCCAGACTCCCGTGGCAGAACAGCAGAGAAAGGTACAGGCAACACCTCCAGGGCCAAATTCAACCCGACCCTGGATGATACAGTAACAGACCCTAAATACCTGGTGCTCCTTGGGCACCTCAGGCATCTCCCTGTTAAGGTCAATTGGGAAGACTGGGGGCAAGAAACATCCACAGAGTTTTTGGCTTGGTTTTGGTAAGGATTAGCTTTCTCTTAGCTAATTTTTTTTGAGTCCTCTTGATGTTTTTTGCTAGTTTAGGTTTTTTTCCTCTGCCTCTACCTCTTCCTCGTCACAGCTTGGTTCAGTGGTGGTGAAAATTGGCTGCTGGCAACAGACTTTAATGTTGCCTGGAGGGACTGAGGAGTGTCAGGTCTCACTGGTGGTTTGGCAGAGTGTCCTGCCCAAGCCTGAGAAGGTGGCAGGGGGACTCTAACTCTCTGTCTGCAGAGATGCTGTGGAGGCAGATAAATTAGCCATGGCACTCTCCCCAGACATCGTTAGGTCATTTCTTCGAAAGTGCCCAAAACAGCTTCCAAATCGTCGAGCGTGGATCTGAGAGGAGGCAACAAGCAAAGTTTACCAGTTGCCTCAGGTATGTAGAAGCAGTGGCTCTTGCCAAGAGAGACATCACACCAGTCCCTGCTCCTGAGCATCGGTTCCCACGTGCTTATGCCCTGATGTAGGAGAAGCACCCCTGAGCTGTGGGACATTGTGTGGCCTCGTGCTCAGGTTTGGGGTGTGATCCCCTCTGCTCCCTGTGACCTGCCGCCCCAACACCAGTGTTTTGGGTCCTCTGATTTGAAGGCAGGTGGTACTGGATGTGCCCTGTCCTTGCTGTCAGCTCTCCAAGTGCTCTGGGCACAGGCCCTGGGCGCAGGGAGCCGTCAGCAGCTCTGCCTCGCACCAGGCAGGGCCGTGTCCTGGAGCGCGTTGTCAGCGCCGGTACTGGGGCTTGATGAAGAACTTAATTTGCCAATAACCAAAGGGAGTCCTTGGAGGAGGGAGCTGGCTGCAGTTCAGTGTGTTGCAGGGAGGAATGGGGAAAATAAGTGAATGTTGCAGAAATGGAAGGGAAGGAGGAATTGGAACAAATGAAGATTGATGTGCAGTGGGCTGAGCTGCTGCAATTAAGGTTTTCCCTCCTGCCCTGGCCTGGGTCGTGGTGTCAGTCAGACCAAATAACTCATTCAGAAATGCTTTCCTTCCACTCTCCTCCCCTGGTTGCACCCTTCCTTGGGGTGTCAGAGGGGACCCCTTCCCCAGGAATGGTCTGCCATGTCCCAGGGTGGACTGCAGACCTGGCACTGGGCATCCAGTGTACAGCAGGATGTGCTCTCCAGGAGGAACTGGAATCTGCACTGAGCTCCTGTCCCTGTGAGGGGCTGGGAGCTGTTCTGGGCTGGGGGTGGCTGTGAGCAGTGAGGGCTGGCTCTGTGTGTGTCCCACGTGCCAGCTGATGTGTGCCAGGGGATGTGGGGCTCTGTGCTGTGCCAGGCTGCCATTGCAGCATCCACAGCCTGGATCCCCCCTCCCCTGGCAGTGGGATGGGGCCTGGTTGTGTTTGCAGTTCCAGCTGAGGAGTCACTTGTCCCTGTCCACACTTTCTGCTTGCTGATGAGGGGTGCTGGGACATGGTGTTGGTCTGTGGTGGGAGGCTGGCAGGCAGCAGCATGAATTGTACCCAGGGGTGCCCCAGGCTCTGTCCATGTTTTGGGGGCTCTGGGGTCATTGTCTGCTCTGGCTGCCTCCTCAAAGAGCTCATGGGGGCTGTGCTGGGGTCTGTCCTCATGGGCAACGATGTGCCTTTCCCTGGACTCTGTTCTCCTTTCCATGGGGCACTGACCAGCAAGAAGGTCCCAGGACAAGTGGAAGGAGTGCTATATGGGTTTTTTTTCCATGTTCATGAGCACTCTGTGTGTTTGCAGTGGCTGGAGAGTGTCATTAGGGTCAAAATATTTGGGGAAGAAAACAAACCCCGTCTTCATGTGCTGCTGGAGGCTGAACACTTGGCACTGCTGGGGGGCTGATCCCAACCTTTGCCATGCCCATCCCCATGGAATCAGGACCACTGGGGCTGTTGGAGGCTGAAGGTGTTGCTCATCACTTTATGCCAGAAGCAGGGGAGCAATTTGATGAGGCAAGAGTGACCTCACTGGGCCCTGGGAGGTGCTTTTTGGGTCTGTGATGTTGGGTGGGAGCTGTGGCTGTTCTTTGTGGAGAACCAAGAGGGAGCTGGTGATACCTGTGCTGTGCAAAGTTTCAGTGACTGTTGGAGGCTGCAGGGACTGGAGCCCAAGGGTGTGGGGTACTGGGGTAATGCTGCCTGGGGCTGCTCTTGCTGCCCTGCTCCCCTGCCCAGTGCACAGAAACGTGGCCAAGGCTGGCCCATGTTTGCAGTCTTTTGAGTGACAATGTCCACTGAGCCACTATTTCCAGTTTGAGCGAGCCTGGGCTGGGCTGTGCCTTTGCCACGGGAGTGTTCCTGCTCTGATGGCTGGCATGGATGTTCCCATGGGCTGTGAGGGCTGGCAGATGTTCTCCTCATGTGGGTGGGCTGTCACCACCGGGCTGGACCCGTGGGGCTGCTCCACCAAGAGCCACAGAGCCAAGGAGGGCAGGGCTGCCAACACCCCCGGGGCCAGCAGGGAGCATCCACAGCTGTTCACTGGGAAAACAGTCCTGCCAGTTGCTTGGGAAGGGAAGCTGGTGTAGGGATAGTGGTGCATGGAGGGAGGACGTCAGCAGAGAGAGACGGGGCTGGCCCTGGCACCTGCTGCTGGTGCTGAGCCTGCACAGCCAGGCAGGGTGTGACAGGGGCTGTTCCTCTCCTAACATCTGCCTCCTGGCTGCGGGAGGGAGGGGTGACAGCCACATTTACACTCCTGCTGGCTCCTGTTGACGCCGTGCAGGAATGTGGCTGCTGGAGCAGATCCCTGGGGGAGTTGGCACTCTCTGTCCTCGGCATGTGGAGCATCCAGGCTGTCCAAATCACCGCGGTGGGTCCTCCTTGCAAAGCAGGCTCTGGCCCTACCCCCTTGGGATGTGGATGTTGCCAGGGCAGAGCAGAGCTGGGCAGGACTGCAGAGGTGTCCGAATTTCTCCGTCCCAGCCAGCAAAGGGTCCTCTCTGGAAGCAGAGAGCTGGCAGCAGATCAGGAGCTGGGTGATGTCATGCAAAGGAAAAACACCAAAGGGCGTCCGTGGAGGCAGAGTGAGCTGGAGGGAACAGATGACACCTGCATGGAGCAAAACAGCCTGGGGGGCTTGCAAGGCCCTTGTCTGGAAAGGACAGGGACCTCAGCAGCTCTGGCTTGTGTTCTCCTTGCCACTGACCTTCTGAGTGACCTTGGATGAGTCTTTCCCTCCCAGGCAAAGTGTCTCCTGTGAGCAGGGTTGGAAAGGAGCAGGAGGAGGGTCAGCTTTACCTGAGTGCCAACACCCTGCAGCAGAGCTGGGGGCCTGGCCAGCCTCGAGTCAGCTCTTCCTGTCCCGGGGATACTTCAGCCCTGCTCTCCCTGGGCCCTGATCCAGGAGGGAAAGGCTGTGCTGGACCTCTCCTGAGTGACTGATGTGCATGGAGACCCAGGCTGTTTTCCTGGGAGGGCAGCTGGGCACCAGGTGGAATGTGGAATGGTGTGAGGAGGCTGCTGGCTGGGATGCTGGTGATCCCTGGTGATCCCAGGATCCCTGCCCTGACGCTGGGATCACTCGTGAGGGTGGCACTGCTGTCATGGGGAACATTCCTGCTCTGTTTCCTCCTTTCCCAGCCACTCTGGAAAAGTCATTACACCTCTCTGCCCGCAGCCCCTCTGTGGATGTGCTGGAAGGCTGGGAATGCTCATTGCCTTGTGCTGGAGACTGTTTGGACTGCCCTGGGCTTCTGGGAGCTGTGACAGTGTGCTGTGTCCCAGGGAGATGTTTTCAGCTGTGCAGTGGTGCCACCACACTGGTGTGCAGACTGGCCCTGCTGGGAATGGCTCTGAGAGGTGTTGGGCTGTTTGGAATGTTGAGGAATGGCTGCAAGGTCAGGCAGGGATGCAGGACAGGGCAGCACTGCCCCGTGCAGGGCATTCCAGGGGGGGCTGGATAAGGCACATTCCCCAAATGCTGCTGCAGCTGGTGATGGGGAATGGGTTGGTCCAGCCAGGATGTGGCAGCTGCAGGATGAGCCCGGGAGATGTGACGTGTCCGAGGGGCAGGGACAGACACCTGCCCAGGAGGGAGCCGAGCAGAGCCGGAGCATCCATCGGTGCACGGCCACCCCCATCCCACGGGATGGGGATGTGGGAACTGTAGAGGCATTGAGGGACTCTCTGTGTTGTAAAACAAATCAGTGGATTCTTTAGAGGCTCCTGTGCTGTGCCGTGGCTGCAGCAGCCGGAGCACACACAAGGTCACTGGAAGGGACAATAGCGCTCGGGGCAGCTCGGCACTGGAACCTCCAGCCACGGCACTGCCCGGCTTGTCCTGAGGAGGAGAGGAGGTGTTCCCCCTTTGTCACACCCTGGCAGTGGGGACAGGGCTGCTACAGCTCGGGCACACACGTACAGACACACACTGTGCTCCCTTTGTCCGGCAGCTCCAGTTTGTCACCTGAGCCAGGTCCTGCCTGGCCGGGGATGAGCAGCAGATCCAACCTCTCACTCGCTGCTCACCAGACCCTTCTGCTCCTGAAGTGTGTCTGGCCTGAAGTGCTGACATTTCTGTGCCTTCCTGTGGAAGCCCCAGCACATCCAGGGTGGACACAGCTCGGGATATTCCATGATTCCCCAAGGGTGGGCACGGCTGAACGTGCATGACGTGTGAGGGGAGGTGGCACGTGATGAACTCAGTCGGAATAATTTGCCCTGGATCTGTTGTGACAACTGATACCAACTGGAACTGCCACGAATTGACCCTCGGGTTACTCGGGACATATTTTTCTTGTAAATAAATGTGGACAGAACGTGGGTTTGGCTTTTGAGGACCACGGTGTGACAGCTCTCTCACAGCAGAGGGGCTGTGGACCCCAGAGACCTCTGACTGAGGGCGGAGGTGGTGCCACTCTGAGGCAGCTTTTTGACTCTTCTCAAGGGCCTTTGGTTGGTGAAACAGGCACAGCCTTGGACCCCACAGTTCTGAAAACAAGGTTTGGCCAAAAGTGTTTGCTCTGAGGAGCCAGAACCTGGTCTCCAGCACTCCCTGCCCTCCCTGGAAGTGCCCTGGCACAGAGCTGGGGGGGGGTTCCTGTACCCACAGAGGTGACACATTCCCTCGCTGCATTCCAGAGCCATCCAGGGCACGTTCCAGTTTCCAATCCCCTTGGTATGTGGTGGGGACCTGGACCTTTGTGCACTATTAATAATGTGCTGTGCTGGTGTGACAGTGTCTGAACCACTCCTATGACATTCCCAACAGGAACCATGGGGGGTCTGTCCCTGCTCTCCTCCCCATCCCAGAGGCACCACTCAGTCCTGGTAAGGCAAGACAAAGGATGGAATTCCCTGCAGCCCAGCTCTCCCAACTGTTGCACCGACAGGAAAAATTCACTTTCCCTGAGCTTTGCTAAACCCTTTCCAGAAAACTCTGCAGAGTGGAAATGTAGCTCTGGGATCTCCTCTGTATGGAACTATCCTGGTAGCTCAGGGTTCCCAAAAAAGCTGCTTTTCTGGGGAGCTTTAGAGACAGGAGGTTTTATTTTTTAAGGAAACTTGCACTTGGGATCCAGCTTTGATTTCTGATACTTGGGTAATTAAGTTGCCAAATCCAGACAGGTCAAAGGTTTTATTCTCTATTGAATTTTGCCTCCCATGAAGTAAAGGAGACTTCAGCTCTGAGCGTGGCCTGTGGAATCACGGGGTGTTGGGAACAGTGAGCACAAGGAAAGGGAGCTGAGAAAGGAGAGCCAGGCCCTCCCAGCTGCCCCTGCCCAGCCCAGGGATGAGCACAGGGAGTGAGGAGAGCTGGAGGAGATCCCACTGCAGTGTGCAGAGTCAGCCTGCACCGAGCAGGGACAAGGCAGGGAGGAGGTGACTGTGTCCCTTCCCTCTGCCCAGCAAGGGAACAAGAGCTGTGCAGGGAGCAGGATGGGGGGAAAACCCCTTGGGAAGTGTGTGAGGAGAGCCCTGGATCCTGTGTTAGCACAGCTGGCTGTGCTGCATGTGTGTGACCTGTGTGTGTGTCACATCCCTCAGCACTGAGGGGTTTGGCAGAGGGAAGGGGGGGACTCCAGGACTTTCTTCTTCTTCTGGTCCTGGACTGAGATTGTCCATGAAAACCACCTCATGTGTGGGGAGAGGTCTGTGCTCACTTCCTGGGGTTGGGTCTGTGTCCTGGATGTGTCTGGGAAGTTTTGCTTCTCTGAGCCTCAGAGATGCTTTTGGTCTCCCAGGGGGTTGTGGCACTGTGGTGCAGAGGGGACACACAACAGGTCCTGCTGAGGAATTCCAGCCCTGGATCACCTCAAGGAGCCCAGGTTTTGGGAGGTGTCTGTGGATTCTGTGCCTGTGTTGCAGGAAGCAAAAGGGAGTAGGTCAAGGACCTAACAGGTGGCCCCGTGTCATGGAACACAGGAGGGGTGCGTGCAGGGATTTGGGAAGTGTGGAATATGACACGTGTGTGTGCAGGGATTTGGGAAGCTTGAACATGGCTGGTCTGTGTGCAGGGATTTGGGAATTGTGGAACACGGGAGGTGTGTGAGACTTCTCTTTTCCCCCCCTGCCAAGTTGGCTGTGTTCATGGGAAATCTCCCAGTCATGGCAAGAGCTCCCTTTTGAGGAGCCCTCCCTCTCACACCCTCCGCCCTTGGGTTTTTCTCAAGCCAAATGAGGGAAAAACCAAATGAGGGCTGCCCTTACCCTGAGGTTTCTGTGAGCTGCCATCAGAGCTGGCCTGGAGGCATCTCCTTCTGTTGCATCCCAGTCTGGTCCCTTTGTTGGATGGAAATGGGGACTGGACACGGCTGGATGGGCTGGCTTCCCACTTCCCACCCCTGTGCTATGGCACCGGGCTGTGCCAGCCCTGCCAGCGCCGGTGCCTCTGGTGCAGGTGGCCCCCATTAAGTCGTCGCCGAGATTAGGGCTGTTTTCAGAAGGTTCCTTTGAGTGGAGGTTTGTTTGTGTAAATATTTGGACGTTTCTCAGGCGTGATTATCGAGCAACCTGCACCTCATGCATATTCAGAGGCCTCGGCGATTGCCTCCTCTCCTGCGAGTGGGAGCGGGGCCGGGGCCGTGGCTGGGGGAGGGACGGGATGCTGGGGATGCTCGGGATGCTGGTGGCAGCACTGGGAGAACCCGTGCAGCTCTGCCCCGAGCTGGGAGCACTGGTGATGCCCCCAGTGCCAGGACTGCAGCGGTGCCCGCAGTGCTGGAGGTGCCCTGGGCTCCCTGGAGCAGGGACAGCCCCTGCCCTGCAGTGCCCAGCTCTGGGGGAGGCAGAGGGAGGGGGCAGGAGGGCTGAGCACAGAGCCTGGGTGGCCCCGGGGCTCTTGGCTGCTCCCCAGGAAGGCTCTGGGCTGTGGAAAGCAGAGGCAGAGGCTCCAGAGCAGCTTGTTTTGCATCCCTGCTCCCCCATCATCTGGGATCCTCCCACCCCACAGGCTCAGCTCTCAGGGACCTGTCACTGCTGATCCCCTCCCATTCAACCCCCACAGACCTGCCTGATTTTTTCTACTCTACAATTCCCTCACTCCATCCCTGCCATTTTCCTGCTTTTTCCAAGTTAACCAGGGTTTTCCAAGCAGTTCAGCTTCACCCCAACCTCGGTCTCCATCACCTCATTGCACAAATGAACCCAGTCACCCTTCTGGCATGAGGCACAGGGCCAGCCCCTCCAAACCTCTGAGAGAGATGGAAGCCTTGGAAAACTCTGGAGCTGGGAGTGCTGCTCCTTTACCCCAGAGGTGTTCAGGGCCCTGGAAGGGGGGTTGCCAACTGCTCCCGTGCTGGGAGGGATTCTTCTATCTCCTACAGGCAGGAATTGCTGCCTGGTCCTTGAGGAACATCCCAAACTGCCTTGGTCATGCAGCAGGAGAGCCTGAGGTGGTCTTGGATCTTGTGTGCAGGAGGAATTCCTTCCTCTGCTGTCAGAGGAGGAATTCAGGGATGCTTTCACGAGCCTCCTCCGTGGCTATGAACACTCTCTGCTCTGATATGGGAAGGACAGAAGTCTCATTTCACTCTGGGACATGGAGCAGAACAGCTCACCCCTGGGGCTGCCCTGCAGAGCAGGGAGGGGACAGTTCTCCCTCCGGCCAGGGGACGAGTGGTGGTGGCCCTTGCAGGGCCACACAGCTGCTCCCAGCCCGTGTGTGCTCACAGGGACAAGGCATTAGTGACCTCTGCCTCCAACACAGGCAGCTGTGACCTTTGTGTCCCTGGGGTGGCTGCTCCGACCTCGTGCTCTGCTTAATATTTGATGAGGAAAAACTCGGGCGCTGGGAGCTCCTGTCGGGAGCGCGACACGAGCCCCGGGGTCAGGTTTCTGTGCTTTCCCACCCTCCTCCCTGCCAGTTCCTCCGCTGACATCAGCACCAAGAGCCAGGACAGCACGTCATATCCCTGGAATGGTGTCAGGAGCTGGGAGGATGGTGTCAAACCATCCATAACTGGGTGGACGAGGCGCTGACCCTTCTCCCTGTGCGTGTTCCCCGCCACAGGCATCATGTCCATTACGTTATCCCGTACGACGGGGACCAGTCGGTGGTGGACTCCTCGGAGAATTACTTTGTGACTGACAATGTAACCAAGCAGGAGATTGACCTGATGCTGGGACTTTTGCTGGGCTTTTGTATAAGCTGGTTTCTGGTGTGGATGGACGGGGTTCTCCACTACGCAGTGCGAGCCTGGAGAACCAGCCGACGGTATGGTAAGTGCAGCCCCACGGGCTCCTCCTCTGCCCTAAAACCCCTTCCCCTGCCCTTGGAAGCTGGCGGAGAGGGAGGAGATCCACACTCCTGCCACGTTTATTCCACGTGGGTTTGGCACCAGTCTGGCCAGATGTATCCCAGCCCTTTTTATCCCAGGAGTTGGGCTCGATGATCCCTCGTGGGTCCCTTCCAGCTCAGGAGATTCCATGATTGTCTGACAGAAGCAGGAATGTTGATGTGGGAATAGCCAGCTGAGGATCCCAGCCCCGAGGGCTGTGCTTTGGAAAGGGTAATGTCTGTGTGGGTGCAAAAGGGTGTGGGATGAAAAGGAAGGTCTTTCCCTGCGGGCAGGATGGTGATGGGGGTTCTGTGGCTGCTCATTTGGGCAGAATGTTTTCAGGTCAGACCAAACCTCAAAAAGCTGGATATAAAAAAAAAAAAAAAATTAGAAAAAATCTGGATTTTTCCAATTTACAACCAGGTTTATGCTGATGGAGAGCAGCCTTGTGTGGTTGTACAAACCTGTGACACTGTGATGACAGTGACAGACATCTGTGCTGTGTTACCTGAGGTTTCCCACCCTCACTGCTGTCCAGATGTGTCCAGATGTGGTGACATCAGCCCCGCAGGGAAAAGTGTGGGGCAGACTAGTTAGTCTTTGGACCAGTAAGCTCAGCATCCTGAATTAACACCCTCAGAAGGACAAACAGATGCTCCTTCCCCTCCCCAGTTTGCTCCCTCAGCATGGGCACCTCATGGACTTTAATCTTTGGAAGGGAAAAAAAAAATAGACAGAAAAACTATTAATCCAGGGAATGGCTTGAAATTCCCTCACACTGTACCCATAAATCTCGGTGTCTCCAGCTCTGACTGATGGTGTCTGTGAAATTACAACTCAGAGGAGAAGGAGAGCGAGCAAGAGAAAGATTTATCTGCAAAATTCTAATTAGGGAAGTGGACTATCTCTCACTGAAAACTCAGATAAAAATGATATTAATTTCCCATTAGTCTTCCCAAATCCTGTGTGAGCAGGCTCTGAGTCAGGACTCCCTCCAGGCTGTGGTGCTGCTGTTTCCCAGAGCAGAATGGTAACTGGTTTGCAGTGGGATCTCAGGTGCTGAGCCAGCGTTGGGGTCCTGACCCCCCTGCTTTCCATCAGAGCACCTTTGCTGTGACCTCCTCGGGGCCCATGAGGTCAGGGCTGGCAGGAGATGTTGTGGTGAGCAGGGGAATATTGTTCTCCAGAGCTGGAGCTGTGAGCTGCAGTTGTGTTATCACCATCTAACTCACCCCTCGTGAGTGGAGACCGCAGAGGATTTTATTTTTAGTAATTAATTTAGTATTTAAGCTAATTGATCTCTTTTGTTTCGTTTTTTTTTCTTCCTCCCTGTCTATGCCTATTCTAAGCCTTTAAGAAGGGTTTGGCCAATGGTACAATGTTCTTTTAGGTATTTCCTATTCATTCAAATCATCTGTGCAAATTTAAAGGCAATAAGCAGAAAGGAATCCTATTTCTTTTTGGAACAAAGCTGAAATTTTCTTCTGAAGAGAGAAATGGTGCCTGGGAGTGCGAGACAGGGGTAGGGTAATACAAATTCTCTGCTGGTACAGGATGAGGAGCCCTCCCTGAAAAAGATGAGCACCACTTAGCAGTGACTCAATGTCACATTGGGGCCTGATCAGCTTAAATCGTGGTCTGTTAGAATAACCTATAGCTCCTTCCTGATGGGAGGGATTGCCCAAAATAGCAAACATTCTATGGAAGCTCAGACATCAGGCTGTGGCTGGTCAGAGCAGTCACAGCCACCTCATGGTAGCTGCAATCAGGGGCTCAGGCTCCTTTGGGATGGAAAAGACCCCTGAGATCATCGAGTCCAACCATTTCCCAGCACAGTTGTTTAACTTCACACCATCTGTCGTTTTCTGGGGCTTCCCAGCTGCCCTTTGTGGGATTTCTGGGGGGAATCACCCCGAACTCTGGTGGAACAGGACGGCAGGGGGAGGTTTGGGGGCTCAGAGCTGAAGCACTGGGGGATAAAATGACACTGTCCAGGCTGCACGAGCTGAGGGGCAGAGAGTGACCCAGTGCTGCCACATCCACCTCATCCCTGTTCCATCCTGAAGGGAGGAACTCAAGGGTGGCTTTGCCAAGGCTCGGGCTGGTGGGGCAGCACAGCTCTCACCATTCCCGTCACACCTCACCTTCCTTCTCCCTTCTGCTCTTCCAGACAACTCCTGGTCTTGGATTCCCAAATTTTGTAACTTGAAGGAGTTCAGGAAGCGTCACCACAGGCAGTACGAGGAGGCGACCGGGAACATGGTGCACATCAAACAGAAGCTGTACCACAACGGGCACCCCAGCCCGCGGCACCTCTGAGGGAACCTCCCCCCCTCCGCAGACTGCAGGGAGCTTTTAAAAAAACAAAAAAAAAAAACAACAAAAAAAAAGGACTTTGCTCTTCTTCCAGCCGGACCAGCAGCTTCTGGTTTGCTCCTCCATGGAAGCCCAGCCGAGGAGAGGATTTTACTGATCCGTATCCCCGGGACGCGCCACGATGCACAACTAAAGCCAGTCCTGGATGCCACGCAGCCAAGACACTGCACTGTGTTCCACATTTTATTGTCAGACTTGTGTATATATGTAAAAAAAAAAAAAAAAAAAAAAAGCAGACGAACTAAAACAAACAAAAAAAAAAAAAAGAGAGAGAAAGAGAGAAAAGAGATTTGCATTATACTTTCAAGCCCTCCCCTCCCCCCCCGAATTTTCCCCGGCATTCCCGGCTGTCCTGCACATCCAGCTGCCCCCGAGGGGAATGTTGGCCGAGGGGATGGAGGTGGGACAGCACGAAGAAGATGCAGAGTGTCTCGTCCAAGAGCTCAAATCCCCCGTTTCTTTGGTCCTTTGGCTTGGTTTTGCTCTGCCCTGTCCCTTCTGTTGCTAAAATGGCTTTGGCTGGTCACAGGTTTGGATGGGCACTGCTGCCAGCGGGCTGGGAAGGCACAGTGTCCCTTTTTGCTTTGGTTCATGTTTTGGGGAGTCGCTGTGGAGGGAAGGAAATCCTGGGAATGTGTAAGTGGTTTGTTGTTTGAGTTGCTGTATACACTGAAACCTGCCTTAAGCAATCCAGGGAATTTTAGTGCCGGGGGAACGCCCCGTGAGGTGCCAGCCCATGGGGCAGGGCTGGCCCTGCCTGGGTCACCCCTCTGGTGGGATCTTGGTGGTGTCAGTGCTGTCGTTCTTCACTAGAGCTGGAGGGGAGGGAGGGAGGGAGGAGTGGATGATATTGGATCTGACTTTGCACCCCGATCATACCCCTCTGCTCATAAACACCCCCCACCCCTTACCTGGGAGCAAAGGAACTGCTCTCCCCCTCTTTTGGAGGGAGAGCCCAAGGCCCTGGTTAAACCACCCCAAAAACATTGGCAGTGCAGTGAGAGGGTCCTGTGAACAGTCTCACTCCCCCTGCACATGAACAAACACCTATTTCTCGTGCTCCTGCCCTGAGCTGAAACAGCAGCAGGTTCGGGCTTGGCTTGAGGGACACAGAGATGTGGACCCCAAACCAAACTCCTCTACAGAGCCAAATGTCCCAAATGTCCCACGTTCACATGGTTGAATCAAAGCATGAGGATGCTCTGATGTGGTTTTGTCTTTGCTTCCCCCAGTCACATCTCAGGTGTGGGTTTTAAGGTCTGAGTGTGACCGAGGGTCTGAAACCATCCTCCACACCCAGAGACCTCCTTCCCCTGCAGGCAGAGGTGCCTGAAGGAGCTGACAAAGCCCCTGTGTGGTGGTGTCTGATCCCTGCAGTGGGTCCTGTTCTGCTGGTGGGGAGAGAGAGAATTGATTGAGAGGAATAAAGGAGGGAGATGCCCCAAGAAGTTAAGGTGGTAGCCCCGAAATCACGTCTCCTTCATTCACCATTTTGTATGGAGTGGGTTTGTGCTCAGATGGGGAAAACACCCAGGATAAAAGAGGATGAATACTGGCAGAAACTGCTGGTTTATTCCATGGATTCCTTGACACTGGCAGTGGCCTCCTGTTGTTTGATGGCAATATCTGTGGAGGGAGACGGACACCATCACTCCAGCTCTTTCCTCCCTGCTTCAGCTTCTGTGTCTTGGTTTTTTTTGTTTTTAATTTGCTATGCCGAGGGTCAGTTCAGTTAATTACAAGCCCCAAGAGCCAAACATTCCCATTTCTCTGCCATTCCTACCTTTGCTATTCCCTAGGGCCTCTTGTCTTGGAGCCCCAGTTTCTGTCTGGGCCTAAATAATTGCCTGGTCCATACTTATGTCTGTTTGACTGTCTGTCATTCTGGGTTCCCTGTGGCTGGAATGTCTGCAGCCACCTGTTGGGATCTAAGGAATGACTTTTTCCTGGAGCAGCTCCTTTCCAAGACACACAGCTTTGCACCCTCCTTGTGCCATGGCACACACTGAAGTGGCAGGGAAGAGCAGGTCTTGTGTTATCAACTTGTCTTCAGGTGGGACAACATTTTGTAGGGGAGAAAATTCCATCATGGTAAGGAGAATATCTCTGGAACTAGTTATGGGGGGGAAAAAAGCACTTTAAATAATCTTTCCACTTGAAGCCTCTCAAGAGAGAGACTTAAGGCAGTGACTTAGACTGAATATAAAGCCTGGTTCTGCCCTGCTCTAGCAGCTGACCTTGGTTGAAATATCATTAAATATGGGACAGCTGGAAAGAGTGAAGTGATGGCTCTCACTCATTAAGTCTGATCTGTCTGATCCACAGCAAAATTTCAGAAGAGCCTGAGGCTCTTGGAAGAAGGAGAAAAAAAAATCCCACACAATACATAATCCCATTATTTAAGAACAGAATTTTTTTTTTTTATTTGGGCCTGTAGCTCTCACCTCGTGAGCCTCTCTCTTGTTCACACAGTCAAAAAAAAATAAATCAAAGATAATCTCAGTGCAATTAAATTTACTGGGAGTTATTTACTAGTCTTCAATGCACAGAAACCAGACGTGTCCCAGCACAAACTAAACCAGTGGGGAACTTACAAGATCTTTGATTCTCATCCTTAATAAAGATGGAGTAAAATTCCTTCCCATGCAGGGAGGGAATTCTACTACCTGACCCACGAGATCTGCTGCATCTTCTGTGCAGGGTGGTTTCAAACAGCTGAGCAGCTCCTGGTGTGAGGTGGGTTTTCCTCTGAGTCCTGGAAGCTGCTGTAGATTCCAGCCTATGGAGCAGAGATGGGAATGTGCCTGTTTTGGGGCTGGATAAGGTCCCTCACAGGTCAGGCTGCAGCGGTGAGAACCCCCTGCACAGGAGCAGCTCAGTCCCACGGGATATTTAATGGCCAAAAAAAAGATAGACAAGGGCTGTTCCCCACAGCCACGTGTCTGCCACGTCCTCTCTCCAGGGAACGACGTGACAAAGCCCCCAGAGAAGCAGAAGGTGAGGGAGGTTTTTGGGTATCACAGAACCCCATCACTGTCACTGCCCTGCAGCCCCTGCTCTCCCTGCCTGCCACCATCACTGCTGTCCCTGTGCCACCTTCTCAGCTGATCCTGCTCCAGTGGGAGTCTTCCCAGCCCTGTCTGATGTGTACTCTCTTGTTCCTTTGTCCCCGTGAGGTCGCTGCTCTTGCTGTCAGCTCAGTTGTCCGTGGTCCTGCTGTTCCTCTGTGCATGTGTCTGTTTTGCTTCTCTCTGCTGTGGGGGTGTTTTCTCCTTGTTTAATTGTCCCAGATGTACTAGTGTTGACTTGTTTGTTGTTCTCTTGCCTCTGATCCAGTCTTCACACACACACACACACACAAAATAACAAACCAAAAAACCAACCACAGATGGAAACAATAACAACAACAAAAACAACAACCACCCAAACCCAGAGACAACCCCAAGCAAAAAGGGTTTGGTTGGGAGCAAGTGACTTCAGCATCAGGGAGTTGACAAAACAAGGGCAGGGAGGGAGAAAAGGGGGTGCAGAGCTGGCAGCTGTGCCTGTGGTGGCAGCTCTGTGGGACACGGGAATGGGATCTGCAGGACAGGGGAGTGGGAAGTGTGGGCCACTCGCAGCACTCGCCCGCCAGATGCTTTGAGGGAGGCTCTGATGGTGGTGGTGGGGTTTGTGGGCTATTTTTAGAGCAGAGGCAGAGCTTAAAACTGTGTATGTCGATCCTCCAGAGCTGGGATTGGCACTGGGAATGTTCTCCTGCGTTTTTGGTGTGAGGAGCCCAGGTCTGGCTGCCTGCACACCCCATGGGTGTGTGCTGGGGGTTGGGAGCTGCTGCAAAGGGGAAGAGTGGGAAGACAGGTGGAGAAAAGCAGGGGATTGAGAAATCCATTGCATCAACCAGTAGCTCCTTTTTAAAATCAAATCCTGTCCTCGGTACCAGCACTGCTGAATAAACCCCTTTTACCCATAAAAACAACAAGAAGGACCCTTCCTCGTTGAGAAACAGTTTGGGAAGGTGTCTCCTGTGATTCCATCCATCCATCCATCTGTCCACTGTGCCCTCTTACTGCTCAGCCAGCCCTTGAGCCAGCCAGGGACACATCAACTGGCCCATCCTGGCTGAAGTACCTGGCAGCACTTTATCCATAATCAGTCAAAGACCAGGAGGGAGCCTGGAACGTGTGTTCCGGGCACTGACAGCAGGGTGGGGTGGTTTTAGTTACTCTCACTGCTATTCTACCTCATTTTCTGGTTGTGCTCAGCTGTGAGAGGAGAATCCCTGATCAAAAGGAGTATTAAACACAGCCACTAAGGTGATTAAGGGACTGGAGCATCCCTTCTGTGAGAGAAGGCTGGGAAAGCTGGGGCTGTTCAGCCTGGGGAAGAGAAGGTACATAAATACCTGGAGGGAGGGTGCAAGGAAGGCAGAGCCAGGCTTTTTAAGTGGTGCACCAGAGGCAGTGGGCAAAACAACAAATTATGGGGGGATCTACCTGAACATCATGAATCTCTTTTTTTACTGGGAGGGTGGCTGAGCATTGGGACAAGTTGCCAGAGATGTGGAGTCTCTGTCCTTGGAGACAGTCAAAAGCCAGCTGGAGGTGGTTCTCAGGCAGCCTGCTCTGGGGAGCTGTGCTTGAGAAGGAGAATTGGACTAAATGAATTCCAGAGGTCCCTTCCAGATCAAACCATTCTGTGAAAAAAAAAGCCATGCAAGAGGTGCCAGGGGAGCTGGGGCTGAAGAGACCCAGAGCTGGTGGTTGAAGCCCACGGCAGGCAGTGCAGACACAAACAGCAACAGCCTCTGCTTGCCTTGGATAAGGTCTAGGTGAGCCCAGGCAGGAGAAAGCCCTGACCCGAGGTCATTCCCCAGCTTGGGAGAAAGCACATGGTGAAAAGAGAGGGGGATGTTCACCTTCCAGAGAGCCCTGCAGGAGGTGGAGGTTGGCAGGGGATCAGTGGCACAGGGAGCTCAGTCTCATTCCAGATCTCACCCCAGTAGCATTTAATATTCAGTGCTGCACTGATGGAGAGTGTGGGTTATGAAGGCCTCTTCTGGGTTCAGGAGGCTTTGAAGGCACAAACAGCCAACAGAAAATCCCAGAGCACCTCTGGATGGGAAAGAACAGAAGTACTTCCATCACTAGAGTGTGTGGTACAAGCAGACACTCGGATCAATCGTTTTCCACCCTGGATACGTTGGTGGGACAGATCTGTGCTTCAGTGAGAGGC